GCAGACATGTTTTGATGAAATTTGGTTAGTCACAGGGCTGCTGCTCAGCCCTCACGTTTTAGCTGGCTGCAAACATTGAAATGGATTTCCTGAATGTGACACCTCACATTCAGGAAATCCCACCGATCTTATTACTTTGGGTTTCATGAGACACGCCTCCGTTCAAGAAATCCATTCCATAGTTTGAAGCCAATTTGCAGAGCAGCCGGCAGGGAATCACATGTGGAGACATTTCAGCAGACACAGACATGCATCATGGATCGGAAATCTCTGCAGGTTAGATCGGAAAAATCCAATACGTAAATTATGCTGGTATCGGACACAGATACCAGATTGGACCCCCATCCCTAGCTCCAACCCAAGACAACAACAGCAAAAACTAGATACAGGAGCGGCCTACAGACTCCCTCGGGCTCTTTGCCTGATCCACTGATGGGAGAGATGGGACAAAAGAGCTAACCAAAAGGTTAAAGACGGACAACAGAGAGGGAGAGGTCTATAGTTACTTTGCTTCTGGATGAATGATTGAAATAATTTGGCTCTGAATGTAGATCCTATTTTCTTAAAATGGACTGGACTCAGTCTGAGGAGCAATCAACATCCTGAACAGGTAACAAGTGAGAAAACAAGTAGGTCATGAATGCACACAGAACATGATTGGCGGGGTACGAAAGACTGGACTTATTTCTTGTCAGTAAACCTTTTAAGATACATTTCTATTAACAAGCTCAAAGAGTTGTAACAAACTTAACTCAGACATACTAAAGGCTCCAGTATACTCCCGCGTCCTGTCAGCCGCACGGAAACAGCGCACTGTCCACAGAGGGTTGAGACTTCATACTCAAACATCTACCCTGAGCGGCTGCAGAGCAGCTCCGCAGACAAAAGGCGTTTACCTTGGGGACAAATTGAGGTTGCCGATTGGTCATTTGCGGACATGCCTACTGCCTCTTGGCAAAACAACAAAAGAAAAGGCCAGATTAGGGATGAAAAGGGTAATTTAATACATTGGTGTCGCATACAAAACAGTCCGTCGCCGGGCAGTTTATTGTGCGACACAGAGTTTGAGTACGTAAAAATTGAGCTTTGCGCGGACATGCCCTGTGGGCGTCCACTTCGACTCAAATCCGGTACGCGTGGACCTCCACGGACTCGCGTACGCTGGAGTACACCGAGGGCTTAAGCCTTGAAATGCTGAGGCATGGAGCCTTCTAACAGCTCATCCGTCTTCAGGTTCACAGAACTAAACCCAGAACCACTGAGGAATGAGTATTTTACCTGTGCTCCTCCTCAACCCACCTGAAGAAACCAGAAACTCGGAGAATCCTTAAGAAAAAATAACTAAACACATAGTTTTTGTTGTTTTCGTGACCCTAACAGATTTTAGTGATTTTAAGGTCTGTTGTTTTGTTTATATGATTCTTGAAATGCAGCACTTTTGAGATTCACAATGTACAAAATGTTAGCATGTTCAATCATTTGAGGCCATCAGAGGACACACATACACAATAGTGGCTTCTTACAAAATAGTGCCGAGCTCAGGGCAACACACACTTTCAGAGCAGGCCACACCTCCAGAAAGTGATTGTCATTAACAACCTATGGGGAAACCCTGTACTCACATGTGACCAGCTCTAAGTCAATAGACCTTACCTTCTAACAGGTTTGATCACTGGTGTTTTTGTTGAGAAAGGCAGGCGCTTAACTATAAATCTGTCCTACAAGAAACAAAAACTTCTTCAGAACAGAAACTCTGCCCAGTCTCTTTCTCTCTTTAACACAGCAGTGTTATAATATAAAAATGCTATATGAAAGTTATTAAAAGACAAACAAAATAGATCCAAGTAAGAATAGAAAAATTAATGTATTATTATACTTCTTTTATTCTTCTTTCAGATGCTCCCTTCTTCAGGGCTCACCACATCGAAATAACTCGCAAGAAGACTTGATGATTGTTTTTATGCTGAATGTCCTTCCTGGTGAGAGGCATCAAGCAGGAGTGGGCATACTTATTGCCCCCCATCTTAGTGCCTGTGTGTTGGGGTTCACCCCGATGAATGAGAGGGTGGCCTCCCACGTGTAGGGGGACGGGTTCTGACTGTCGTTTGTGCTTATGCACCAAAAGGCAGTTCAGATTATCCACCCTTCTTGGAGTCCTTGGAAGGGGTACTGGAAAGTGCACCTCTTGGGGACTCCCTTGTTCTGCTGGGGGACTTCAATGCTCACGTGGGCAATGACAGTGAGACCTGGAGGGGTGTGGTTGGGAGGAACGGCCCCCCTGATCTGAACCCGAGTGGTGTTCTGTAGTTGGACTTCTGTGCTCGTCATGGATTGTCAATAACGAACACCATGTTCAGGCATAAGGGTGTCCCTATGTGCTCTTGGCACCAGGACACCCTAGGCCGCAGTTGGATGATCGACTTTGTCGTCGTCTCATCTGATCTGCAGCCACATGTCTTGGACACTCGGGTGAAGAGAGGGGCGGAGCTGTCTACTGATCACTACCTGGTGGTGAGTTGGCTCCGATGGTGGGGGAGGATGCCGGTCAGACCTGGCAGACCCAAACGTATTTTAAGGGTTTGCTGAGAACGTCTGGCAGAGTCTCCTGCAAGACAGAGCTTTAATTCCCACCTCCGGGGGAACTTTGAACATGTTCTGGGGGAGGTGGGGGACATTGAGTCCGAGTGGGCCATGTTCCGTGCCTCTATTGTCGAGGCAGTTTACTGGAGCTGCGGCCGCAAGGTTGTCAGAGCCTGTCGCGGCGGCAACCCTCGAACCCGGTGGTGGACACCGTCGGTGAGGGATGCTGTCAGGCCGAAGAAGGAGTCCTATCGGGCCTTTTTGGCCTGTGGGACCCCGGAAGCAGCTGATGGGTACCGGCAGTCCAAGCGACATGCGACTCGGGTTGTCGCCGAGGCAAAAACTCGGGCATGGGAGGAGTTTGGAGAGACCATGGAGAATGACTTCTGCACGGCTTCGAGGCAATTCTGGTCCACCATCAACACTGTTTATAGTGGGAGTGGTATGCTGCTGACCTCAACTCGGGATGTTGTGGGTCGGTGGGCGGAATACTTTGAAGACCTCCTCAATCCCACCGGCACGTCTTCCACTAAGGAAGCGGAGCCAGGGGACTCTGGGTCGGGTCCTCCAATCTCTGGTGCTGAGGTTAACGAGGTGGTTAAAAAGCTCCTCGGTGGCAAGGCTCCAGGGGTGGATGAGATTTGCCAGGAGTTCCTTAAGGCTCTGGATGTTGTAGGGTTGTGTTGGCTTATATAACTCTGCAATATTGCGTGGACATTGGGGGAAGTTCCCCTTGATTGGCAGACCAGGGTGGTGGTCCCCCTATTAAAAAAAGGGGGACCGTAGGGTGTGTTCCAACTACAGGGGGATCACAGTCTTAAGCCTCCCTGGTAAGGTCTATTTGGTGGTTCTGGAGAGAAGTGTCTGTCAGATAGTCAAATCTCAGATTCAGGAGGAGCAGTGCAGTTTTTGTCCTGGTTGTGAAACACCGGAACAGCTCTACACCCTCAGCAGGGTCCTGGAGGGTGCGTGGAAGTTTGCCCAACCAGTCTACATGTGCTTTGTGGACTTGGAGAAGGCATTCGACCACGTCCCTCAGGGAACTCTCTGGGGGGTACTCCGGGAGTATGGGGTACCAGGCCCTTTGATACGGGATGTTAGGGCTCATTCCCGGTGAAAATTGGGCTCGGCCAAGGTTGCCCCTTTGTCACTGATTCTGTTCATAACTTTTATGGATAGAATTTCTAGGCTCAGCCAAGGTGTTGAGGGGATCCATTTTGGTGGCCTTATGATCGCGTCTCTGCTTTTTGCAGATGATGTGGTCCTATTGGCTTCATAAGGTCGTTATCTACAGCTGTCGCTGGAGCGGTTCGCAGCCGAGTGTGACGCGGCTGGGATGAGGATCAGTTCCTCCAAATCCGAGGCCATAGTCTTGAGCCGGAGAAGGTTAGAGTGCCCTCGCTGGGTTGGGGAGGAGGTCCTGCCTCAAGTGTAGGAGTTTAAGTATCTTTGGGTCTTGTTCACGAATGAGGGAAAAATGAGGGAATAATGGAGTGAGAAATCGATCGGAGGATAGGTGCGGTGTCTGCAGTGAAGCGGGTGCTGTACCGGTTTGCCATGGTGAAGAGAGAACTGAGTCAAATGTTGAAGCTCTCAATTTTCTGTTCAACCTACTCTCCTACCCCTATCTCTAAGGGAGGGCCCAGACACCCTGCGGAGAAAACTAATTTTGGCCGCTTGTTTCTGAGATCCCGTTCTTTCGGTCACAACCCAAAGCTCATGACCATAGATAAGGTGAGAAGCTTGATCATCCAGAAGGGATTTAGAGTAGAGCCGCTGCTTTTCCACATTGAGAGGAGCCAGTTGAGGTGGCTCGGGCGTTGTTTAGGATGCCTCCTGAACGCCTCCCTGTTGAGGTGTTCTGGACATGTCACACCGGGGATGAGACCCAGAGGAAGACCCAGGACATGCTTGAGGGACTATGTTTCTCGGCTGACCTGAGAACACCTCAGGATTCCCCCGGAGGATCTGGACCAAGTGGCTGGGGAGAGGGAAGTCTGGGCCTCCCTACTTAGGCTGCTACCCCCGCGACCCGACACCGGATAAGCGGAAGAAAATGGATGGATGTCCTTCCTGATACAACCACAGACCACCGAGCTACCACAGCCCTCTTTGTGTGGAGCAGAGAGCTGCCATCTAGGGTGACCAGGGGAGCAGATGGTGGGGGTTAAGGGTCTTGCTCAAGGGTCCAGAGTGGAGCTAATGAGGGTGGAGGCAGGTGTGGGTGTGTCACCTTTCACACCCACATTTTGATGTTGTCGGTCCGGGGAGTGAAACCGGCGACCTTGTGATCACAGGCTCACTTTCTCTAGCCTCTGCACCACCACTCCCCCATCATCTTTTATTTTATTTCTCATCATTATTAGAAGATTGTGCCACTGTAGTAACCATCAGTCTTCAGTCCTGTTCAGGTGGTCTACCTGTCATGATGACGAAGGGGGGCAGATCCAGACGGTCCGGTCAGCTCATTCCCCACAGTGATAACCATGCTGCGGTCCTGAGGACCCGGTCCCCATTGAGAGGGAGGCCTCTGAAACACAAACATAAAACAACTTTAAAACTTGAACTAATTAAATACAGACCAACAAATTTATTAGAACCTTTTAATAATGTCCCCAACTCAAAGTGTGTACTTGAACGCACCAGACTCAGATTTATTCAATCATTGTTGGACAACAGGCTCAGGTTCTCAAAGGATTTATGAATTTATATTAAGACAGGAACCTCTTCAGATGTGTCCCACAAAAAGTTTCAGACTTTTCACTTTAATTGTTATAGGTTACTAATAGAAAAAAAAACAAGAACTATTTTACATTTAATTAACTTATGACAATATTTTTGCAACAATTTTATTGTTTTCTGTTGATCTTATTGAGACCCCACAACTACGACCATGGTAAAGCCTTCCTTGGATCTGAAAGCTTGCCCTAGCTCAAATCCAGCGCGCCCGATTATAACAGCCTTTATGGCTGGGTTGCGTTTGTGCATGCACCACAGTTTAAAAACGAATTAAATAATAAAAAGCAACATTTCACCTATGTTTTCTTACACATGTAATGGATGTTTCTCACCAAGTTTGAAGAAAATCAGCTGGAGGCTTTTAAAGAAATTACAACTTTAATGCCCCTTAAGGGACGGTGTCAGGTCCTCGATTCCTGTTTTTACTGAGAAATTACATATGCCTTTGTGTATTTGTTTAATTTTCAGGTTGCGAGATAATCCAGACAGACCTACTATATTGTAAATGGACTGTTCTTATATAGCACCTTTCTATCTAATCAAGATACTCAAAACACTTTATAATCTGTGCCCTCATTTACCCATTCATACAGCACTCTACTATCTTTACAAAGACTACCGTAAATTTAGATTTATAAGTTGCAGTTTTTTGCATAAATTAGCATGCCTGCGAATTATACAGCAAAGCGACATATTTATGTTTTTTCCCCATATTTATAACCCAATTTTTGGCTAAGATCTGACTATTTCACTCATTGACATGGGAAATATTCAACACTATCATTTTCAGCCACTAGAGGGCCCTCGACGAATATGGCAAGCCAAGTGTCTCATTAATAGGTAAATGTGGCTATTAATGAGACACTTGGCTTGCCATACAAAGCCACCTTCGTCTTGCTCAGGAACGCCTGGAGCAAACGTCAAATCAGCTGCATTTCTCCGCGACGCCCAGGCGAAATTCAGCTGATTTGACCACTAAAGAGCATTTATTAAGGAAAAGTTAAACTGAGACACACCTTTGCTATACAGTGAACCCTCGCTATAACGCGGTTCACCTTTCACGGTCTTGCTGCTTCATGGATTTGCATCGTGTATTGTGTTCTGCATTCTGATTGGCTAAACAGTCTCAGTAGTTACTGTAGTTATTTGTAAAAAACATTTATACAGTACTTTTATTTGTTAAACAAATGCTTGGGCCTGTAAAAAGGTTTTGTTCTTTGGTTTGAATGTATTATGGAGTATTTCATTGTATAATAATTGTAAAAAAAATAAAGGTTACTACTTTACGGATTTCGCCTATCACAGGTTCTTTTTGGAATGTAACCCCAGTGAAAAACGAGGGTTCACTGTAATTTCGAACAAACAATTGTTTTTAAGTGTTAATCTTGTTAAATTCTTGTTAAAGTCCTCCGGTGCATGCACTCGTGGCTGCCATTTGGCAGCCCATCAATTTTTGGCACAACATCGGCCCACATTTCTGGGTTGTCAGCGATGACACGTAACAAACGCGACGTGTCAGCGGTGACGCATAATAGATGTGACTTATACGGCGAAGCAACATATGTATGTTTTTTCCACTTTATTAGACATATTTGGCCTGATTCATTCAACCTTTATTTATACAGATAAATCCCATTGAGCCTTGAAGAATCATTTACAAGAGAGACCCGATTTTAACAAATAAATAGTGATAAAAGAAGACAACAAAGACAATAACAGACAATCATAAAGGATGCTACATCCATCCATTATCTTTACCCGCTTATTCCATTTTGGGTCACGGGGGTCGCTGGTGCCCATGTCCAGCAATCACTGTGCGAGGGGCGGGGTACACCCTGGAGGGGTCGCAAGTCCATCACAGGGCCACATAGGGACAAACGAGACAAACAACCATTCACTCTCTCACTCACACCTAGGGACAATTTAGAGTTACCAATTAGCCTAACATGCATGTTTTTGGTCTGTGGGAGGAAACCGGAGTACCCGGAGAAAACCCACGCATGCATGGAGAGAACATGCAAACTCCACCCAGAAGGACCCTGGACCAGGGTTTGAACCAAGGACCTGCTCGCTGAGAGGCAGCAGCTCTACCAGTTGCGCCACCGTGCTGCCCTTAAAGGATGCTACAAATGAAGATTATTTTTCAACAAGTAAAAATAAAATGGTATTTAAAAGAAAATGTAACAACTGATGTGACTTATAAGGCGGTGCAACGTGTACGGCGGAAACGAAAATCAGTACATTAGATCGCATTCATACACCGATGGGACACACATCGGAGGCAATAAGGGGTTCAGTGTCTTGCCCACGGACACTTCAGCATGTGACTGATGGTGGAATCAAACCCTTGCATTGGAGGAAGACTGCTCTAACCACTCAGCCACAGCCGTAGGGCTGAGTACCGAACCGAGGTTCTTAAATGGCACCCACCGAACTGCACCGGTCAGTGTATGGATTGAAACGTCACTCTTTTTTTGGTGTCAAGTTTTGGTATTGGCTGTAACGTGTCACGTGGTTTCAGCATGCAGGCAGGTACAACGCAGACATACGACAAACAGACTACATGTTTACACCCAGAACTGTATAGAACTGCCGCACCTAATCTATGTATAATGTAGGTCTATGGTGCTGGTGACGCCCACAGACGGGGTTCACGTGTGCAGCTCGTGTTGTCGAAGAGCAGAAAGTTGCTCTGTGTTTCTCTGCAAGAAGACAGACGGACAGCAGCCTCCCCCCTCCTCCTCTCAGCGTTAGTCAGTCTATGTGTGTGTTAAACGGACTGAATCAACATTCCACGGCCGGACTCGTCTTCATCAAAGAACTCCCGAGTGTCTGTGTTTCAGCTGGTAAGTTTACATTTGTTAACGTTACTGCAGCTTAACGCGTACATCGCGGTGAATTAAACTAGAATCCACCCTCTTTACAATCTACATACGTAATGTATGTAAAATCATCCATGATGCATCCATACATCTCTATGCTGATATGACAGTTGTTTATTGTCGAGCTAAAACAGTTGCTAAGGCTTTCCAGTTTTTGAAATCTGCATTCAACAACATCCAGACAGATTTGTTCCACCTCAAACTTGTCCTAAATGCCAACAAAACCAAAGGGATGCTTTTTTCAAATAGGAAGTTGGTCCCAGCAGTTCTTCCTCTGATTTCATCCTCAAATGGTGTCCCGATTGAGTTTGTTGATTCCTATAAATATTTGGGTATCTTGGTCGACTCGCATCTCTCTTTTAAGCTCCATGTGGAAAACTTGGTAAAGAAACGTTGGTTACGTACTGTAACCCCAGATTCTATGAATATAGGCGTAGCCCTTTAAGGCTGTCGCTGATGGGTTTATCCCGTTATACGCAGCATAAGCACTGAAAAAATTTAGTCCACGCACACTTGCTGTGTGGGCCCCACCCGGTCCGTATAAATTACGTTAAGAGCGGGAAATCGGCTCCCAAAATAGCTTTTTCTTCAGCCATTTAGGAGCCAGTGAGGCCTGACGCTTAAAGGGCTACGCTTATACTCATAGAATCTGGGGTTACAGTATGTAACCAACGTTCTATGTCGTATAAGCTTCACCCTTTAAGGCCTTCGCTTTAGTGGGTAAAGGGCGAAGCCGATGTGGTCCTCGCCTCACTGGGTCCATTCGAATACAGTTTGACGCGGAAGCTTGCCCAAAAAACGTCTTTTCACTCAGCTCCCCGTGTGCATAATTACGCATTGCGTAATTATGTGCCATGCACAGACGCATGTTGTGTAACTATGCATTCTGAATGCATGAACGCCCCGGAAAAATCAACGGGGAGTGAAAAAATACACATATATATATATATATATATTTATACACACACACAAATATATATGTACACACATATGTGTATATATTTATGTGTGTGTGTATATATATATATATATATATATATAT